CAGATGAACCAGGGTGGGGCAGGTCACCCATTCATATGACCTGTTCTTTATTCCCGATCAATGACAGTAATGAGTTTTGTTTTATTCTCTCATCTCCTGTAAACACGTCCAGATGCTGATTCCAAGCCCTATTGCCAGCTCTTGTCCTTCCATGAGCCAAAAGCGCCCCCCCCCAAAAAAAATTATAAACCAACCCAAATGGCTGCATATGTCACATGTTTGCCATCCCACTCAGAGTTCTTATTATGCAGAGTATTGTGGAAATATATGACTCCAGATTCTAAACGGACTCACACCTTGCATACAAAGTGATGGTTAATCTGTTTACTCACCTATTTTTATTTCTCTCCTGATCTCTTTTTATTAATCTCATTTATCTCTAGATTGAGGGAGCGGGAAAGCTGGCTCCACGACCCACAGCATGGTTTGAGTCTTGGCTCAGCCACTCTCTCTCACAGTCCTCCTTCACCTGTCCTCACTGCTCACTTTTTAATACTACATTTAACCGTGCATTTTGGGTAACAGCAGGCTTGCTTTTTAAAGTAAAAGTTAAAGTGTTTTCCTACCACAGTACTTCCTGTTGGTCCTGAACCTGGGAATCAAACTCAGGACTGAGCCGCTGTGAGTCTACAGCAGAGGTAGGCAATCTCATCCTCAAAAAGCCACTGTGTATGCAGGTTTTTGGGATAAGCTGTTCAAACCCAGGTGTGAGGACTCTTCAGCCAATCATTCCTCTAATTAGTAATTTAATTAGAGAGTTGCAGCAAAAAAAAAGCACACAAAACGGCCCTTTCTGGAGACTGCCTACCCTTGGGGGGTGTTCCATGAAGCAGAATTTCTTGCTTAGCCAGATGACTTGTCGGATTTAAGGTAGTCTGTGCTAAATGTACGTGAACAACAATAAAGTTCATCAAGCCTAAACTTCCTTAAATGCAACAAGTTATCCGGCTAAGCAAGAAATCTTGCTTTGCGGAATAGGCCCCCTGCTCTACAGGTTTCTGCATCAACTTGCCTAACTTGATTATTTAAATTTCTACACTGTGAGCACATAATTTATACCATAAAGTAAATTTTTAATATTTCCAGAGTTTTTCCAGAAATACATGTTGTAAGAGTTATATTTTAAGGCCCATATGGTTGTATGAGTAGAACAAACCATTAACTACCAACTAGACTAGCTGGGTTGAAGGATTATGTTGCAATAGAGACCTTCTGAGCCCTGGTGGGTTCTGACCCATGTGGGGAGGGATAGGGGAGCCTGGGGGAGACTGTTTACCTGCCGCAGTTTCGCTGAGGGACGCCTGGGCCCCCAGATGCAGCCTCAGCCTCTTAGCGTGGATCTTGCCCTGGTAGTGAGACTGTGCCACCACAGCGGAGGTGAAGGACATGTTACACAGAGTGCAGCACTTGTTCCTGTCCACGTCGCCATCAGCGCCGCCCTGCAGGCACACACAGAAAAAACAAGGGGTTTCAGAAAGCTCAGCACATATATCCATCCGCAGATCTGGCTCCAGCGTCGTTCACTATAGCTTCTCACGCCTGAGAGTGGCAGCAACACCTTTCCTGCAGGCAGGACATTTTGTCCAGGAACAGTCTGTCATCACAATCCTCGGTCTGCCCTGATTTCTCACTGCAGTCATTTTTAAGTAATATTTTAATGCCATATGAAACCGTCTGTCAAATAACAGCCATTTCAGCGTCCGATGCTTTCAACCCACCAAAAACGTTTGACTCAGCGCTCATCCGGTGAATCTAATCTCCTCGCAGTGGTTCTAGCTGTAAAACCTATGGCTGTGTTCCCTAAATGTACCACGCCCCTCAGTGTGGCTCCATCCATCCTGGGTGCACTACTGCGAAGGAAAGGACTCTCCTCTCCTCTGATCACAGTAGAGTCGTGTCCCGACATACAACAGGCGCACCGGACAGGCCGGCAACAAGTGACAATCTGAAAACAAGCGAAAATTTGGAGAACAGCCTCCGTAAAGGAATTCTCCATTTACAGCCAACTTGCCAGCAGCTGCTAATGGTCCAAGCGCCAGGTGGATGTAGGAGCACTCCCCTGTGACCAGGTACAGACTCCAAACAGTATATTTCTTTTTATGTGGGGTTTATTGAGGAAAATAAATCTAGTGGGAAAAACTCCCCGTAGATTAAAAATCTAGCACAAAAAGGAGAACCCGAAAAGTATTGTTTATTTTTTACCTAAATTTATCGAAAAAAAAGTGAAAATCAAATTCGAAAAAATATTAAAGCTCAGTCAGATGACCTGTGCAATAGATTTATTCATTTAGAATCTGATATCCTGCAACGGCTACACAGGGTAAAGAGAAGACGGTCTTCTCAGACGCGTCTTCCTGCTAAATGTACATTCTACTGTAGCTTGCAGGTAGGGCTGGAAATGAACCTCACCCATTCGCATAAGGCAAGTAATTCAGATGAAGGGTGAGAATTCAAGGTTACAAAAGGTTACAAGGTTGGTCGACCGCAATTTGTCTTAAATAAGAATTTTTCAAATATCCACCACAGTTAAATGCCTTCAATTAAAATGAATGCCTTTTGTTAATATGCTGACGTTTGTTCCACCGTGCATTTCCTCCAAAAACGCGGATTAAAGGAGATACTTTCCTTTCACCCTTTCAGTCTCACTGCTCAGAAGAAGACCTAGAATTAATTACTTCCACCTTATCTTTCAGTTACACAATACACTGTCTAAGGCCACCAAACCAGTTCATGGAGCAAATGGTGAGGGAGAGAGTTTGATATTGGGGGGGGGGGGCACAACTTAAAAATTTAAATTCGAAAGTCTGTTGGGGGGCTGAATGAATCTATGTTGAATATTGGAGGTACCTGCCAGACTCCCACACACCCTGGTTCCTACACCTCTACCTGGAGTAGAGCAGATTTTCATTCCTAGACGAGGTAACATCACGCCAGGCTTCAGCAAGGGCTTACCGGGGCCTATCCAGGAAGACCAAGCTGTAGGTGGACCCAAAATAATCTTAAGGGGCAGGTTTTTTAACAAATATTTTATGCTTCTTGCTGCACTGCAAGCACCTTGGGCTACGTCCACCCTGCTACGTTGAAGAGTCTGAAGAGTCCTCACAGACATTAGTCTCAGTTTGCACCTTTCGTCCAAACTACATGAACGTGATTAAACTCAACAGAATGCATTGAACGTTCAGTTGGAAAGTGTGGTTTTTTTCCCCATGTTTTTATATATGTCTGTCACCCCTGCTTATTGTTAATTGATTTCAGTGTTTTTTTTCCGGGGGAAGATTACAAGGTTGTACGAGGAAGGGTCGTTTAATGCTGTCCATAGATATCCTCACGACCAACAGAACGTACTTCAGTGGAGAACAGAAAGAAGAAAAACATGAACGTGTGACAGAGGTGCTAAAAAAGACTTAAATTTACAGGGTGCTTTTAAACCAGTGAACAGTGATGAGTCATCTGCATCTCCAACAACTAAAAAGCTTCAGGACATGCCTATGGGCAAAAAAAAAACACGAGAATTCTGATCTTACCATGGCCATGTATCAGATCTGATCTAAGACGCAAACCTGATTAGAAAAGATCAGGGTTCTGTTTCCACACAGAAAACATCAGAGTTGTGTCTGATTAGAGTCACTTCTGTGTGGTAAAGTAAATGTAGACTTAATTCACCTCCAGCAACCACACAGTAAGGGACCAGCTTGGAGTCAGCTGTGTCCCACACAGGGATTTGGCAACAGCAGCTCCCTGACTGAAGGATTATATGACATGAATTACATCACATGATGAGGTGAGGTCAACCTCTCGCCTGGGCCATGAAGGAGAAATTTTCCCAGTGTTTATGAGAAGAAAAATTTAATTACCCACTTGTCAGCCACAAAGTTGTTATAAAACACTCAGCTGTCTCTGCATAATCTTCCATAGCTGCCGTTCACTTAATCTTACATTCCCATGTCAGGGAATGTAAGGAAAGAAGCAAAGCGGATTAGAAATCCTGTTCACTGTGCAGGGTGAGATCACATTCGGCATTTGCGCGGGTGAATGACAGCCTCAGTGACAGCCGGTCTTTCATGACCTTAGTGATCAGTTGTCCTGGCGACAGAACCCAGCCATAGAGGTGGATGTGGGCATGAAAATGGATGGATGGGTGAATGAGCGATACGGTGCCCCACATGAGGTCGTGTGTTCTCCGCGTTTTCATCTGGGTTTCATCCCACACTGCAGACACGTATTCAGACTGAATCTGTTAGTTGATCTTCGTGCGTAAGAATGCGTGTGCAATGGACTGGCATTCCATCCGAGGTATAAAGCTGCCCTTTTGCCCTCTGCTTCCTGCATTCTGATTGGATGACAGGTTCCTGGAAAAGTGACTGAACATGGACCAGTGATCCACGGGGAGACAAGGTTGGATTGACAGGATGTGAAGCCACGACGTTTAAGTTCCAGCAGCTCAGTTCCCTGGCGGAGCGACAGATGGCATCAACTTCAGCTGCAAAAACCTAGTCTGAAGATTGGCAGATAATGTGCCACTTCACCATAAGACCTCGAGGCTCTTATGCTCCACTGGTGCCACCGCACCAACAGGACAGCTACCTTCAGCTACATCTCTGTAGGCTCTTCTGAGGGCAGTCTTCTCATTTTTACTTAATTGTGCAGGAAACTCACTGCAGGCCCCAAATGGTGGATTTTCTCATGGCCTCAGTTTTGTTCTCCTGCAAAACAACAGTGTTTTTGCACTGCTGGGGTTCCCAAGGAAATGTGGTGTACAGGATAAGGGGGGGGGGGGCTTGGTACAGGCAGGGTGGTCTGTAAGGGGGGATAAAGGGAAAGACCGCCAAGGTTCCAGACACTAGGAGGAGCCAAGGAGCATAAGAACATGGATAATGGTAGCTTTGGTTTGAAGGGGGGGGGGGCAGCCATGTCTTTGTGGGAGGTGTGCTCACAGGTTATGTATACCAAGTACTGCAACAGCCCCTCAATTGGAGCACAATGGCCAGCAGTTGTTAAGATAATAAACTAAAAACCACTATAGTTATATGTTCAAAAGCGAAATGTGTAACAACTGCTATACCCTGAAAAAAAAGGTTCTCAGTCCAAGGCCAACACAAAGATATATACCTCAGCATCACTGCTGTGACAAGTGACTGCAGTCAAAGTGAAGCCAGCACTACGTGTTTGTCATACGCCTTGTGTATGTGCCCCTTCCTCGAAAACGACCCACTTATCCTGTCACTCAGCGAACTCACACTTCTGCTAATTCCCATAATTCACTACTCTGGGCCCTATGGAAATAATAGCTGAAAGGCATGGAGGCCAATTTGATCCTGGTAGCTGACAGCTGACTGCAATCTTGGGGGAGGGATGCTCACTACGATCAGGTAAACGAGGCTTCTACAGGACAGGAGCCTTTCTGACCCATTGCCGTTGTGGGTCTGTTGTTGCTTCCTAATAAAGCCAGTCATGGGTTGTGACAGGAATTGTGCTTGGTTTCCTGTGTGTGTTCTCAATGTCTTGACACCAAAATGGCTGTCATTTGTTTTTACTCCTTTCTGCTATTTCATTAAACGTGTCTTAATTTCAAAGATCCGAGTCATAAACTGTAAAAGTTACCCATGCTGCCCCTAAGATAAGAATGCCCAACTTACAGACAACTTGAACTTACGAACAGACTGCCATAAAGCCTATTATATTCAAGATGCTCTTGAAAAAAATTACGTGACATCAATGGTTCATCAGCTCGAAATATAGTACAGGACCGTATTTAGTTAGTTATATTATTACTGCATTATAATAATTATTATGTACTATAATATTATTTTTCAGGCTTACCCTCTGTACTGTCTTGACGAAGCTGTATGATCGATTTGTTTCCCTCATAATACCCAAATGGATGTGTGACCCTTGACCCCATGGAGTCACATGATGGAGGAGAGGCGCGCTTACATTGTCTGTCCGTAGCTTCTTGGCGGGGCAGCCCCCATCTGCAGGGTGCAGCATGTGGTACAGTCGGACTTTGTTGGCATGCTTCCGGCTCTGAAACCAATAAAGAAATAAAGACATTCAGAAATGAACCAGTAGTACCAGTAGTAAGTGTATTTTCTCTATAAGAACCAGTATTCTTGTTTTAAGCTGCTTCTGATACATAGAGGGCAGTCTTGGTGTGGGGGGCAGGGGGGGTTAGCTAAGGCAGGAGGATGAGTACAGAAACATGGGCAGTTCTTTAATACGAAGGCCACGTACCATCATAATCAACATCAAAATGATCCCACTCTGACCCTATCTATCTCGTCATAATAACAAGACCAGAACGACACAAACTGACACTGATGGAAGTTCGAGAAAGTCCGATAAGAGAGAGAGAAGCTTAATGAAAAAGGCACCAAACACAAACAGGGTGGTTAAAGGCTGAGTGGACATGGAGGAAGCCTATGAAACTGGCACGTCCTTCGAGCAGGGCCCCTGGCGGCCCCCCAAGTCAGCTCATATCGGACACTGGCTATCAGATGACCCTGCGGCTCTGGTGACTGACCCACTTTGACATGCGTTGGGCGAACCCAACTCATGTGGCGGGACTGGCAGGGTGGCAAGGGAACAGAAACCTTCTCAAATAACCCCAAACAACCAGCAAAGAGCCTCCATTAGAGTTAGTGATGTCGCTGTGTATAACTGATGTAATCAATCCACAACATGGCCTTCTAATTTACCGTTACTACTCTTACTGTTAACAGTGCTTACTTACATCCAGACTTTTGACATTCTTATTCTATTACTGAATCACGGTGCCTATGATAATCTAACTGCCATCCATGGGCACTTCTAGGTGGGAAAAAAAACGGAAGAAAAGGGAACATTAAGCACAAGGCTCCTGCAAGTTCTGGGTGTATAAAATCAGCACGTCTCTTCCAGTCCATGTGAACCTTACTTCCTTTAAGATCTGTAGTAAGCTTTTTGAAGTGTTTGGAGGATATTTTGCTCCTGTACCAGTTAAAGCCACAGGCCTTCCCCTTTTGGCTAACTGGATCCTCTCTCGGTCAACACAGCTAAGCTACCCCAGCGGCCTGGCTGTTTGTGTGACTGTCCCAGTTTGGATCATGATGTAGTCATAGATTACTTGTGAATTTTCCAGCCAGCCTTAAGGTAATTTGATTGCGTTGATTTTGATTGTCCTATTTTGTTTTTAGATTTTGCATTTAACTTTTGTTTTGGTTCTCACACTTTATCAACAACCTTGTTTCAATGAGATAAAGTGCAGAATTTGACCTTGCATGGATTGCTGATTAGGGAGATGACGGCCGGGAGGTATTAAGTCTAGTAACTTGAACTCTAACCAGAGTAGCAATCTCTTCCTGTTTTATTGGCGGAACTGAGGCGCCACTACCATTTCACTTATATGATGGGGGGTGTTCACAAATCTGATGGGAAAAACCAAGTTGACATGGGGGTTATTGCAAGTTATAATGAAAACTCATTTTTTTAATGCTTTGTATATTGTATTAATAAATTTGAACAAATCTGTATTTTGGAATGGTATATTTTAGAACTGTTAATAAGGGATATTTTGTATTGAGAATGTTAATTGCTCCAGGGGGAGGGGCTACAGCCTATATAGACAATGTGGAGGCCTTTACCTGGGCAGGGGGAGGGGCTACAGGCTATATAGACAATGCGGAGGCTTTTACCTGGGCAGGGGGAGGGGCTACAGCCTATATAGACAATGCGGAGGCCTTTACCTGGGCAGGGGGAGGGGCTACAGCCTATATAGACAATGCGGAGGCCTTTACCTGGGGAGAGTGTTGCAATCTGTGGGTGGTTGGTGCTGATGCAGGGCTACAGACTGAGGTTTTGCAATGGTTGCAATGGTACGTCAAACTTTTTCATTTAGGCGAAACCAAATATTTCACAACACAGGATGTGTTTCTTTGAGATGTGTGTTTTTTTCAGGAATGTTGACGTTCTGACAATAAAAACAGTTTGTTACCTGCCCTGCTTTGGCTGCTGGCTTTGAGTTTGATGCCATCTCCAGTGCTTGGCCAGGGTTACTGTCTGGCATTTTACCAGGGAAAGGGGAGACGGATGGTTGAACGGTCAGGCCCAGGTCGGGGTCTGGGATATGTGTATTGGGCAGCATAGCATTTTTCTTAACAAAAAAACTATCAATAACAATGAATACTTCTCTTCATCTTGAGTTACCAATTGCCTAACATGTGTTTTCATTTGTTGCTCCAGGATGAATAGCCTAAAGGTCGTCATTTCAAACGCACACATCAGTGTAGAAGAATCTCAGGATCAGAGCCAATCACAGGCGAAGACCCACCCCTTCTCTGCCTCTGCTTGGCTCTGACCTTGATGTTCTTCTTTTCCACCACACCAGGCACCAGGTACCAGGTACCATACTTTCAGTACAGTACTATCGGTACTTTCCCTATTCCATTGACTTCTGGTCAAGTACCAGTACCAAACGTTCCACTACCTAAAGCACCAAACCAATTGCGTTACTTTTTTGGTACTTCAGTACTTTGGGGTGGCACTTGCAATGCTTCCACCGTCTTGAAAAAAAGTTGCAAACTCAGAGAACAACAATAAACAAAGTAAAAAAAATAATAACAATGGATGTATGGACAAATGAAAGATGCAAGCTTAAACTGCGATCCGGATGGAAGAAGAGATACAACAAGATCAGGATATACTTGGGCAGCTCAGTATTATTTTATAGTAATAAATATAGGGGTACTCATAAAGCAAAAAAGGAATTCAACATAAATTTCTCATAAACCTGTCTGGAGTGATTTTAAACAGCAAGGATGAAAATGATTATGACTGTCTCGTAGAACGCATGCAGCGCTCATGCAAAAGCAGCGGAGGTAAACTTTAAACTGATTTTTAAACATACTAGATAAACTTGAAAAGGAATAATCATTAAAATTGCAAAACTTGCTACATTTTTTTTCTATGACACACAAAAAATGTTTTACCGAATGAAGTTTTACCTCCCTGCGCTAAAATGTCGAATTGAAGGTAAGAAAAAACCTGATTTTAATCTAGCTGACTAGCGATGTAAGAATTGCACGTGCATAACGTGTCATTTACATTCTCGGACCACTTTGTCTCCTCTCTGGTTTTTGGATCCTCCGTCCACTCAGCCCATTCGTAACAAACAATCTCATGTTCTGGGATGTGTGAAGTGGGACTCACTGGTTTAAATCTTTCTTGGGCAAAGAGATCCCACTGTCTAATCATTTTATCTGTTGTTCAGACATAAGCATCTACTACAACATCATGGATCATGTCGGGGAGCACAGGCCCTTACAAATGTTATCTGGACTTTAAGACGATGCGGTAGATGGCCACTGCAATGATTCAGCGGCCCTTGCTGTTCCCATTAGCAGTCTCAGGGTGTCGTTTATGTGGGCGTGATTTGCCTGGGGGGTCCAGGAAAGTCTCACCTGCAATACAAATGACCAGTAGCTGTTTGGGGCACCACACAGTGGCCTCGCTTATTGAACCATCGAGGAAATGCAGCTGTGCTGTGGACGTCCAGGAGGAAAGGGCAGACACGTTTATTTCCCTGAGATCCTGATGGGTTTTTAACAAGCACCGGTCCGTTTTAAAAGCCTTTCGTTATTTACTGATCCAACATGTCATGATAGGGATGCCATTGGACACAGGCGCTATTTCCAGTCTTGATAAAAGCCAGAACCTGTGTTCTCTGTTCATGACAATTTGTTCAACGCACCAAGTCTTTTAATATTTATCTTTAATATGTCTGCTTACAGGATACCAAGAACTTTTTCACATAAAAATACCACTTTTCAAAGGGATTTGAACTAGCATTGCAAAAAATGTTCTTATATCAAGTGTGAGACATTCCAGCAACACCTCTAAATGCCATAAATACACTAGATGAATAATAATAATAATAATAATAATATAAAATTTCCTTTAAAATTTGGCCTGGATTTCTCCGTTATTAACTTATCAAAGCTCCATAATTTCTTTCCTCGTTTTTGTGCGATATGGTAGCTCAGTGACACCCTTATGGTCTCACAGATCCAGGCTAGTGTAGCAGATTTGATTCCCCTCCCTGGCTCTCTGTATCGATTCTCCATCTTCTCCCCGTTTTCATATATGTTTCCTCCAAATACCCCAGTCTCTTCCCATGAACTGGTGTCTCTAAAATGCCCTTTGTGTGTGACTAGGTGTGAGTATGTAACTTGCATCCCATCCAGGTTGTTCACCTGCCTTGTGTCCAGGCTTCAGGCTCACTGTGACTCTATACTGAATAAGCATTTATAAAAGATGGATGGTGGAGCTTCTGAATTTTAGTAACACAAACACAGAGGTTCTCTGTCCACCTGTGCACCAACTCAACAAGCTGAACTAACACATTCTCTAATTGAACTACTCCGTCTTACTCTATTATTTATTCTTTGTTTACACACTTGAAAAACCTGCAGAGAAACTGCAGTCCCACAGACATGTCACACTTCTGAAGAACAGACCTGAACAGACCTGAACAGACCTGATCAGACCTGAAGAGACCTGATCAGACCTGAACAGACCTGAACAGACCTGATCAGACCTGAATTTCAAATCCATGCCCAGGACTTTGTGACTCACTCTAGCAGAATTACGCTAAATGTGTTTCTGCAAACACTCTTTGCAAATCTAGCAGGCTGAGGATGGAGTGACGAGGTTAAAGTTTGGATGCAAACACACAAGCTTCCACTCACGGCACATTTAGCACATCGCACATAAAAATATCTCTGTCTCTCAGTGTCCAGAAATAAACCACTATACGAAGCTGCAAATGATGCTTTCATTAGTACTTTTTCATTTACAGTTTATTTCACCTTAAAATGTGCCATGGATCGAGCCAGAGGCGATATACTGTATGATGCTGAGCACTGAAACAGAGGCAGCAAACTGTCAGCTCAAGTGAAGAGACTCTGCCTCCTAACAGAGGTGGACAGTTCAGATCCGGAAAGTACAAATCCGGACCAAGGTTTTGCTTCAACCAACCAGTTGAATATAAACAGTCACCGTCACAGCATAATCAACCGGTTGGTTGAAACAAAACCTTGGTCCGGATTTGTACTTTCTGGACCTGAACTTTCCACTTCTGCTCCTACACACAGTCTTCTTGACCTGCCACACCAAAAGGCAGATAGTGATAATCTGATTTACATCAGCAATTAGGTTTATTAAGGGACCTGGTTGTGCCGTTCCATTTGCCCATTATAATTAACGAGCTTAACAAGTTCCCTGTAAGAATGTTTACAGCTTGAGGAGAGCTATCTCTCTTGAGCAGTGGCTCATGGGAAGGGACTGTCAGTCACTGCCAGACTGCCTTCGCCTGCCCCATGGGTGCCAAACACAGGGGTACGAGGCACCGAGGGGCCACGACCACAGGAAGCCAGTGTGCCCATCATAGTTCTCTACTGACTTCACACTTTTTGTTGACTTTGATGAGCCCATGCTGAAATCCTGCCTGGGACATGAAGAACTAGAGCAAAGCACAGAAGCGGGAACAAGTAAAGTTGCATGAAAGAGAAGCAGAATGAGAGAGATGGAAAGACAGAGGAAGAGAGAGAGGAAACAGGTGAGACTGTGTGAAGGACAGAGAAGGGCAGAGAGACCGCGTAGGAGAGCGGAGCAGACTGAGAGAGAGTGACAGATAGGGCAGAGAGGGGGAGATGGAGCAGGGCAGCACGCTGGAGACGCAGAGTGAGAGACGGTCCGTGTGCATTCAGCTGCCACCTTCTGTGGGCTTCGTGCCTGACAGACACCCTAATCACACCAGAGCAGACACAGCAGCACACAATGGGAGGCGGAAATCCCTGGACACACAGCCTTTCCCAGAGTGCCTGAGGGTGTCAGTCATTCTCAAAAGGCTTGGCAGCAACAAAGGGTGTGCACCTCTTAAATGTTTATCTGCTCAGCCATGTTTTATCGCAAGAAACTAGGAAATCATATACTTTCCATCATTTTGGCTGTATTTTCTAGATCAATTTCAAAGTTAAAGATCCATGCTCTTTTTGCCTTTTTTGTCTAAAATAGGGGGACCTAGAAGCATGTGTTTTTTAACCCGTGTTCATGGTAACACCTGAAATCCACTGTTACAGAAATACACCGGGTCAAATCCGCTTCTTACAGCAGGTTTCCTTATCAGATACATTATGTGAAAACAAACATTATAACAGATCATAATCATAATCATAAGCTCTTAAAAAGTGTCCCGGACTCCCTGGCTGCTCAGACACCATAAGGACGTCCACAGGGACTGCGCTGTGGAATAGCTCAGAGTGATTAAACTGGCCAGGAATCCCCGGCTGCCTGGCAGGGGACATTCAGAAGGAAGAGCCCAGCGATATGATGCACTATTCAGCTGCCGGGGTGGTTCTCTGTCTGTTTTCAGCATTTAGCTCAGCGATTGCCAATCCTGTTCCTGGTGCCCACCCTGCCAGAATGTCTTCATTCCAATCCTACCTTAATCAGACTTATATGGTCCTTAACAGGCTAATAATGAATGTGGCAGGTTGAAAGCAGTGTGGACTGGAATGAAAACATTTTGGCGGGGGTGCCAGGAACAGGATGGAGAACCACTGGTTTACCTGAGCAGACCTTCAGTTTTGACCCTTTTATACAGCTGGATATTTCACAGAAAAGGTTCACGTTAAGTACTTTGCTCAAGGGCAGAACAACAAAGCGCCTACTGGGACTTACGCCAGCTACTCTGACACCATAAGACCATGTGCTCAGCAAAGTTACCTGTGCCCCAGCCTGTGTTACAGATGGTTAGTTCTGTGTCCCTGGGGTGTGTGACTATGGGAAGCATGTGGCCCTGGAGTCCACTGGATTCTCTCTGTGTGGCTGCGCTTGAGATCGCATCTGTGCATACATGTGTTTGTATGTGCGAAGACTGGAATCTGACATGACTGTCTCCTCACCTCATAGTGGGCCACCCGCTGGGACTGGGAGATGAGCTGGGCACTGCACACCTTGCAGTAGCTGTCCGTAAAGAGGCCTTCCTCGCCCCCAGTGGACTTCATCTGTGGGAGACAGGAGCACCTTCACACACTCTTAAATGATGAAACCCCCCCCCCCCAACAAAGCCCAAACCAATGCCCCACCCATAAAAGAGAAGCACACCAACATCAGCATTTTGGTTCTCCTTTTAATGACTGTTAGATCCATCTACCATAATTAATACAGAATAAACTATTGGTTTATAAATCAAGTCTCCTAATTTATATGTGGCCTATCTGTCCAGCGGGAAAATGCCCGGAACTGCCACACTATAAAAATGTAAAAATAGCAGGTGTTATTTTTTAAAGCCATTTCTAATGCAGCTGAATGTGAGGAACATTTCCAGGGTTTGTATCGTCCTTGATGGCATCACCAGGATGTGGTCCGTTTGGACCGGGCTTTTATGGAGAGTATGGCTCTACTTAGGTCTCCCTTAGGTCTATAATAAAGTGTAATTGTTGTAAAGTGCCTGCAACTTGTGTCAGGAATGGCACGAGATGATGAAGGCTGAGCCGGCAACAGAGAACACGCCCACAATGATCGCCCCCTCTGATAAACAGTGGAACTGCACTCACCCGTGTTGTTTGAGATATTTCTGTAAAAGGTAGCGATGGCATTTATCAACTTCAGAAATTCCAGAAACAGATCACTTTAACTTATTTCCTAGTCACAAGTACGGCTTCATAGCTGCATGGAAAACCTACTGTAGTAGTAACCACAGCGACGCCATTTGGACCATCCACAAGATGTAGGCCATTTTTTTGGCCATTGAGATTCAGGGCCTTTCCCTCAGTGAGCTAGTTTGTGACAAACTTAATGACTCTGAACACAGAATCCAAATTCTCATAAATGTTGATATGGTTTGAGGAATGTTCACATCAGATCTGAACAGGGTATAAAATGCAAAGGAAAGGCAAACCAAAATCAAACATCATAATTTCATTTTGGCATTTTGACGGATGCTGTTGCATTTCGGGCATTCCAGAAATGCCGTTAGGTTCTTGCATTGCTTTTGATCCCATGCTACACATAAGGCGAGCTCACCATCCTGACAAGAGGGGAATACAAAACAGGCTCATCAGGATAGATTGGAAGACAAAGGACAGCATTACACTGTATTTAGAGGCAAGCAGGTGTTCCTCCAGCTACATTACATTAGACTATAGTCCAAGACGCCCCACGTCACAGAGACATTATGTCTAAACATTAATTGCCTCATTATCAATCCTAAAGCCAAAATTTTTGTAAATTTTAGCATTGTCATGTAAGGTTTAATGCACGATTAGTTAGGGCTTTGAGTGCCCTATCCTGCTTATACCAAAGTTACCACACATTTGGCTTACAAGCTTAAACATTATTTAGACATAATTTTCACATTTTCAAGCCAAAAATGCATTTATAATATAATATATATACTCTCTTCTACCAATGATTAAACATTTCTGTTTTTAAATGACTTTAAATCATGGTCTACTTCTACAATTTTAAGTAACGTTAAAATGAACCATTATTCACTGCAGTTCACTTGGCTGGCACTATGGGTGTGGTCATAGAAAATGAACCAACACCCATCCAACCAATCAGATCTGAGTATTCAGCAGTGCCACAACATAAGCCAAGTTAATACACAGTTTGTTTTTTGATTTATATTTTGTTATCCTGACATTAATTATCTTGTTGCTAATGACCACACACTGCAGGCGAGATGACAAACAGAGGGGGCCAATCAAATGTGGACAGCAAGCAGCCCTTCTGGGGGGGTTTATACTGAACGGTATGTTCCGTGCCTGCACTGTTTTTACCCTCAGCTGGTTCTGTTTAATCCCTCTGCAGTGCCTTTTACCAGTCAACCTCCAGTCCATTTTCAGGCACATGAAATCCTTTTCTGCCCATTTCTGGAGCCGCTTCGCTTGTTATTTAGACAGCAGTGTGAGGTCCAGCTGATAACAGCCGTGTTGTGTCTGGGTCTGGCAGGAGTGGGCGCCTCACCTGCATGAAGGGATGTGACCACGGTGGGGCACACGGCTGCAGCAGTGAGGCTATCTTTACACAGTTCACGGACTTGTTTATTCCAGTCACTGCCTTGCCTGAGCCTGACGACCTCCACAGCACGAGCCGAGATGAGGATGAGCTTCGCTTGCTAATTAAGAACGGCATACAATTATGTCCTCAGTACAATCCTTAGCATACTTCTGTCACGAGGAGGATCAACAGCTAGCCACAGCAGGGAGCTCAAATTAAGAAACAATCCTGTAACCAGAAGGTTGCAAGTTCAAATCCCTTGAGATATTGCTATTGTACCATTATAAAAACTATTAATTATAGAAACCCGCTAAGTGCTAAGCAACTGCAATAATAAATGGGAACCATGACGTAGGCTATAACAGAGACAGAGCTATTCCCCTTGATCCTAAATTTATTTTTCACTGTGGTTTTGGGGAGCTGGACCAAATGTCATCAAAGACACAGAACCCTTTTCCTTCTTGACTGATGCGTTGTATTGAGACCCGTGTGAGAAAACGACACAACGCAGCTCAAAGCTGACCATAAATCCTCAGTTAGGCACAAGGGGGTCTGTGTTTGTTCCATCGTGATTAAAGCCTTGCATCCAGCTTCACAAATCACAGACAAACTGGACAAAGGTGTCATGCACATCCAGATACCAAGCAGCTTCCATCCTGCAGACAGTCCAAATGACAGCTGAAGCTGGTTTAAAATCAGGGGCCCTGTGCTGTATTTTGAAAGCTGCCTGTTTGTCTTTACCGAGTTAAAAAATTTGTGAGTGTTGATTTTTCTCAGCAAACAGTAGGTGGCATGGTGGTTAAGAATCTAGGCTCTGTCCTGACAAGCCTCCCGCTCAGCTTCAAGAGGGACATGCAGCTACAGTATGACAGCAGGGTCACGTGCAAAATGCTGAAGGTGGATCAGCTGATTTGCTTGATCATGTAGGCTGACGCAGATTGATGCCGATCGCCCAAGGCAGCCTATAATCGACACTATTCCACTATCGGTCCTCAAATGACACAGAGTGCAACAAATTACATGGATGTGGCTGGCAGTTATAAATTGCGGAATTACCTCCTGCAGCCGGTGACACTGAGAGAGGAAGGACAAATGCCTCATAAAGAGGCCATGTCAGGAAAAAGTGGAGCTGGTATCACGCGCACACAGACAACTGAGGAGTGTGACATGTGGTGTGGACATACGGGTGAGAAACGGGAAACACTCCTGTGTGCCACTCTGGGGCATGGCATGGGCACCAGCGCCGGTCCTATACCCTTGTGCAAATTAAATGAAACAAGTTCAATGGTTTTTAGTAGCATTTGGGTGCGATTTGGCATAGAATCCAACAATTATGAGCAGTTTTCGATGATTTTGATGTCCCAGTACCATACTTGAATTAACACCTGAATAAGCCTATTATCTGTGGTACAGTCCATTCTACAAAGGCGCCTCCTACGAATTCTGTATAGGGTTTAAATCCAGAGGGTTTCCAGGCCAGTCAAGTACCTTGATTTTCTTCTTGTTAATGAAAATTTTCTCCATTTTCAACCTGTGGCACAAGGCTAGATCATACTGAATGATGCCTGACCCGTCAGGAAATGTAACCCCGAAATTTCCTACATACTGTATGATGATGCAACTCCAACCCACTGAAAAAGTGACTAATGGAGGCATATTGTTGGCTTTCCGGAATGACACTGAAAATCAGATTGTAAAAAATGTACTACTTGTTTCAATTAATTTGCCCAAGGGTGTACAGTATAAGCAGTCAGCTTACAGATTAAGCTGACTCAGGCCAGGCCAGGAGGGAACGGTAAATATAAACAGGCACAATGTAAGTCTGTAAGGCATATGAGCAGCCTTAGCTTGTGACAGTGACTCCTCACAGTGTCCAGTGAACTTCAGTGCAGTTCAGACACATACAGGGACTGTTTGTCTCTGTAATGACACTTACGTCAGCCTGCATCTCTCTCCCTCATACTATATTTCCCCCCTATATTTTTATCTTATTTTCTCTTTCTCAAAAAAACATATTGACATGCTTTGATTTCCAGATTGAGATTATTTCTGGGTTCTTGACCTAGTTTTTCTGGATTTTAAATCGTTGCAATAATCTTTGTTTTCCCGGTAGCTGCCTAATTCAAAACATGACTACAATGGGCTATCATAACATTAACGGGCTATCATAACATTAACTGGCTAATTTGACATTTGATTACAAGCCTGCCATGATGTTAAAAGGCTAATTTGGGGCTTGACTAAAACAGAATTACTGAGGAGCGTAATTTATTTTACAAAGACGTACAGTAAAGGGTATTTCAAAAACAAGGCCAGTTTTACCCAGCAAACAAAAATACATTAATTTATATGATCCTGCTGTGTTAATCTAATATAAGATAAACATCGAGCCTTTAACCGAAATCACTCTTACATGGATCCATTTCTGTAAAACACTTGGATCAAAGGCCGCCAAACAAATAAAATTCCCTCTGTGAAAACAATAGCTTATGGAAAGGATATTGGTTTGCAATTGAATCAGCCAATCGCTTGAGAGAGCTCCCTGCTACTGAACCGGAATTCTAAAATGCTATAAAACCAACCCAGAGCCACAGACATAAATCTTACATCACTTCCATCTCCATGTTGTTGCCTCACTGAGCACCTGCTACGGACCACTGAGATTTATAAAAACACCCCTGGAAGAGGTGTGTAAAAACAGAGGATAAACGCGGCTTATCTCTGATTGGATCTGAGCTGCTTTGAGCTGCTTGCTGTTATCTTGGGGAAGTGGATGAAGTAGAGAAGATCAACACTGAGGATTTACTCCTTAGAAAAAAAAAATTGACGCTCAAAAATTCTTCGCATATTAGAAGCTTGTGTGGGTCAAGGACACAGCAGCCGTGAATCAGAGAGAAACTGATTTATATCTTATGGTGGAGGGGAGTCAATTCTCCGATACCACTGAGCGGGGGAAAGAAATCAGTTTGCATTTATTTATCTAGAGCTTATCCTACTCCTG